GCATGAATGAATCCCTTGGGGAAATGAAAAATTTGTGCTATTTTTATGGTACAAGAGGAAAAGGGTTAGACTTGGAAACTGTATTGGCAGGCCTGCCATTAGCCCTGTGACTTCAGGCAAATCACTTTCTTTTTTTCTATGCTTCAGTTTATCCCTCTGTAAAATTAGAATAGTATCCACTCATTTCCCAGGATTTGTTTTTAGTTTTTCTAATTTTTTAAAAATATCTTTTTATTGATTTCAGAGAGAGGAAGGGAGAGGAAGAGAGAAATAGAAACCTCAACAGTGAGTCACTGATCGGCTGCCTCCTGCACGCCCCCTGCTGGGGATCGAGCAGGCAGCCCAGGCATGTGCCCTGACTGGGAATCGAACCGTGACCTCCTGGTTCATAGGTCGAAGCTCAACCACTGAGCCATGCTTGCAGGGCAAGATTTGTTTTAAGTATTAAATAAAATCATGTCTGGAAAATGTTTTGTGTAAAATGCTAAATGTCATAATTGTGCTTTCTAATCCCTCTTGTACATTGCCTCTTAAGAACTAAATAAGATGGAGAACATTTATTGAGAGCTTACTCTGGGGCAGACACCCATCTATGTACTTTCTGGATGTTATTTCGTTTATTGTCCTAGCAATCCTGTAAGGTAGGTTCCATTACTATGCTCATCCCACAAATGAGTGGGGAAGGCACAAAGAGCTTCAGTTGTCTTGCCCAAGGTCATACAGCTATGAACTCCTGGGGTCCAGATTCAAATCCAGATGGTACCTCAGAGACTAAAGATGTATTAAAGATGCTCTCAGTCTGGCCAAGTTATGATATGTCAATCAGCTGCCAATGGACAGATATGACAGGGTGACCCTCCTCTGATGAGATGGAGATGGAGATCCCTCTTCTTCACTTCCATCAGTGAATAAATTGAATACGTGGTTAATTGTAAAAAACACAGAGCTTGGATTTTTCCCCAAAACATTTTCTGTCCTTTACTTAAAAATTGATTAGAAGAAAAATCCAGGCATAAAAGTTATAGAGATTTTACAGGGCTTTTAAAAAAAAACAAATAGAATAGGTGAACATTTTCCTAGTGAAACTTTGCCTGACAAGGTCATTGTTAAGAAATACAAAGCCAACAGCTGGATAAATCAGAAAAATGAGGCCCCATATTCACCCAAATCAAGTGGCATTTATCTGTATTTGAAAATGGCTCTCTAACGTTTTTATTTCATTGGTGTGAGAGTTCCAACAGAACCCTAAAGCGATTATATAGAACACTAGGGCTTTTTAATAGCTTTTAACTTCACAAGCCACAGTAATTTAAAAAGGAGCGGATGAACTGCTAGGAGCAGGGAGATTTCTGCTGGAGAATACGAATGTGTTCTCTGCTACATTGCTTCTGCCTCTTTCTGGGGAGAGGCAAATGCACACAGGAATGTGATGGAACTTTCCAGCTGGTGATTTTCCATTATCAGGAGGAAAGTGTTTGTGAAAATGACTGATAATTAGGTGTGAAAGTCTGTAAGACTGAAAAATGGAAAAACATTGCAGAATCTTTATTTATATCAAGGGCTGAACTTGGCACAATCTATTGGAGGGGATTTTAACAATGTGCTGACACTGTGACCCAGCAATTCTACTTCTAGTAATCTACTTTATAGCAACTTGCACATGTACACAAAGGTCTGCGTACAAGGATGTTTGCTGTAGCACTGTTTGCATGTATGAAAAATGGAAATACTCTATATCTGTCCATATGAAAATGTCTAAACAAATGGTGCCATAGTTTAGAAAAATTTGCTGTTAATAAATTGAATGAGATAGATCTATTCTGACACAGAAACATGTCCCTGATATGTTAAGTGAAAAAAAGCAAATTGTAAAATAATATCTATACTACGATTCCATTTTAAAATGTTTTTAATGTTAATATATTCATAGGAAAACATCTGGAAGAATATGTACCGAAGATTATCAGTGGCTATCTCTGGGGATGGTATACATATTTTTGTAATGTTTACATTTTTATAAGTATGGAATACTTTTGCAAAGAGAGGGGAGAAAAACAAAATAAAGTTGAATTATTATCAAAAGGAAGGAAAGCAAAAATAGTAACACAGCTGGTAGAGATTTATTCACTATCTTTGGGTGAAAGGTTTCAGTGTAATTCTGCAGTAAATGCATTTCAAATTCTGGCAATTGGCAAGGGCGATATTCAGTCAGAAAGAACCAGAATGATTTTGCTCACATAGAGGGACTGCGTCTCCCTCCTGCCATCCTTATCCTGGTCCTGGTTGTCCCTTTAGCTACTGCTGCTGCTCTCTAGAAACAGCTGACTTACATTTCTTTCTCTGGCCTCACAAGCCACCTATTTTATTTTATTATTATTTTTTAAATATGCTTTTACTGATTTTAGAGTGAGGAAGGGAAAGGGGGAAAGAGAAGCATCAATGATGAGAGAGTCATTGATCAGCTGCCTCCTGCATGCCTCCTATTGGGGATCCAGTCCACAACCCCGGTATGTGCCCTGATTGGGAATCAACCATGACCTCCTGGTTCATAGGTCGACACTCAACCACTGAGCAACACTGGCTGGGCAAGCCACCTATTTTAGGAGTCACTAAAACAAGGTAGCAAATAGTGTGGCCTTTGGAGTTTGGGAGCCCTGGGTTCAAATCTCCTAACTGTGTGAATTTGGGAAATTTGCTTCTCCTTTTAGGCCCTATCTTTCTTTATCTGAAAAATGATACTCTTAGAGAACCTGTCTCAGGGGGTCTTTGGAATGATGAAAAAAGATAAGTATCGTAAGTGGTTGGGAACTGTAAATAAATAAACAAATGTCACTAATTATTATTGTCACTGTGTCCTATCAATTCTTCTTTGGTAGAATCTCTCCCATCTATCTTCTGCCTGATAAACTCCTACTCATCCTTCAAAGCCTGGCTCAGATGCCATCACTGTGAAACCTCCTCAGGCCTTCCCTTGCACACCCAGAACTGATTAATGCTCTGTCATCAAAGGTCCTGCAGGGTGCTGGGCACCCAACTTCATACTGCACTTTATATTCTGGGTTTGCTTGTCTATCTCCTCCACAGACCCTGAGCTCCTGCAAGGCAGCAGCCCTGTTCTAGTCATCTCAGATCCTCTGTACTTAGTCTCAGTGCCAAGTCTAGGGTTTGAATTCAAATAATCATTTTTCAAATTGAATTAATCCCATCCCTGCTTTTATCACTCCAGGCCAGGCGCCTTTAGTTCACAGTGTAACTATGGTAACAGCTTCTTGACTGAGCTCTTCTTTCCCCACTCCAATCCAGGCTAACATTTGAGCCCAATAGGTCTCTGCTCAAAACACTTCCAGGACATAGTAGAATTGTAGGATGTGGACCCAGACCTATGTTATAGCTCCGGTTTTGCCACAAGTCGATGTGATCCTAAGCCCATTGCTTTTTCTCTCTGATTTAGCTTTTTCATCCCTAAAATGGAAGCAATAACCGCCTCCCACAGGACAGCAGAGGGGAGGAACTCAATGAAAAAAATCATGTGAAGTGCATCAACATTATCCAAATGTAGGTATTACTACTTCTTTTATTTTTGAGAGGCAGTGTACATAAGGAAGAAGGACAGTATCTGAAAAGCCTCTGTCCTGGAAGTCAAACTACATCCTGAATGGCCCTGTGATCTTGAGCAAGTTTCTCTAGTTACACATAAAAAGGTGAGCTCTCACCTGGGGTCCTGTTTATTATCAGGAAACATTTAATGTGCCCTTTTGTGAGACTAATTCCCAAGGCAAAGGGGCAGAAACTCTTCTCCACCCTTAATATTAAACAGAAATATCATTGGGGTAGTCCTTTACCATTTATGGAGCACTTTCATACCCATCACTGGACTTAAAAAGGGCTTTAGTAGGAGGAAATCACAGCCAAATTTTAACGGTGATAGTCTCTGAATGGTGGAATTGGGCACAAAATTTTCTTTGTGGTTTCCTAAACCTTGAAAATCCACAATTTTGGAGCTGGATACAGGTAATGGTTGCAGAACGCGGTGAATATACTAAATGCCACTCAATTGTACGTAAAGTATAAAATTTTGTTATGTGAATTTCACCTCATTAAAAATCTTCTGCAATATACACGTACGATTTTATAGTCATTTATTAAAATACTCAAAGGCAGTTCAATCAGCCGGCGACGCTTCCCTCCGCCCCTATTTCCGGCCTGCGGCGCGCTCCTCCGGCCGCCAGGGGTCTCTGCGAGGCCCTCGCGTCCTCCCGCGCGGGCGGGCGCCTGCTTTGGCGCCTTTGTAACGCGTGTGCGTGCGCCAGGCGTGGCTGGGGTTGGCCGCCGGCCCCCCAGGACCGTCACCCCGGCCCTTGCGGCTCCCTCCAGTTGCCCCCTCCGGCTCCAGCCTTCTCCCCTTGGGGCCCGTCCGGGTCTTTCCCCTCCCCATCCTTCC